TACCGAATCTGGATCCTGTAAATCTATCCAACTACTGTCCGTCCAATCTCTAACCTGCCATTTGTATCTAAAATCATGGAAAAGACTGTTGCCTCTCAGCTGCAGTCATTTCTAGCTCGCAACAATCTCTTTGATATTTTTCAGTCTGGTTTTCGCTCACGGCACAGTACGGAAACTGCTCTAGTAAAGGTTGTCAATGATCTATTACTTTCTGGAGACTCAGGCAGTTTATCAATCCTTTTATTACTTGACCTCAGCTCAGCTTTTGATACTGTTTGTCATAAGATATTACTATCTCGCCTTGCAGAGGTTGGCATCTCTTTCCCACACAGCAAGGATGAACACCCTGACAATGACCTGCTTCTGTTTTTTTGGGGTCACAACCTCAGCCTCTAGCACCCTCAAATAGGCTGTTATTAGGGCTTGTTTGAAGTAAAAAAAAACAAAAAAGCCTCCAGCACAGACACACATATATTGTTTCCAGGTCAAAGTATATTTTTAAAACGTCTAGATAATTTTCAACATGCTCAACAAAATGCTGCTAGAAGCAGGTACAGTAGTTTGAGCACCTTTTGGGTATTAGCTATTTGCTAGTAAGCAAATAAAAGAAATGCAGATGGGCTAGGTTTGGTTTATGACTATTCATCACCTACAGAACCATTATATTTTATGACACTTCAAAACATCAAGCATCTAAGAGAGTTCACAGGATGGTACATCCAAGATAAATATATCTTGCCAGCACATTCAGTGAGATAAACGCAAACCTGCTAATACACAGATATACATTCAAACAAGAAGCTTAAATCTTAACCTATAAATACAAATTCATTAATTTGTCATTTCTAAATTTCTTTATAATTTCTTTAGTAATAGGGCAGTCACACAAGCAGCTGTTTTTTTTTTTGTGTGTGTTCCATTCACTTCCATTCATTTGTATGCAAATATACGCATGTGTAGAATGTTTCAATCTTTAGTTTTGTACTGAAGTACTAAACTGCAAATTGCTACAGCAAAAAGACATTTAACCAATAAAGGATCTAAATGACACAGATTGACCCCTCTGATGAGACTCTTAGATGTAAGAAATTCAGTTTGTCCAGATGCAGCTATATTTGAATATTTTTCAAATGTATTATTACTGAATATTTGTGATTTATTATTAGACCAGAAGCCCTTGAGTGTGACATTGTGTGTACACTAAAAGTATTACAGTATAAGGTTATAGTCCCTTCTTTCTTTCTTAGCAGTCATCTAATTTTCAGTTAAAGTTCATTTAAAAAAAACTACAACTTTAAATGTAACCTAAGGATCTCAAAATGAATAATAATTTTTCATAACATACATTATAATGCTGTGATGCTTAAATTCTCTACTAATTTTTATTTATTTATTATTATTATTACTATTATTTAATATTTCTGATTTATTATTAGACCATAACCTCTAGAGTGTGACATCATATCCACATAATTAAAAACAAATGAGACAATAAGCTTTTACTCTCATCCAGACTATCATCTATCATTGTTTAGTGTTTTTAAAGAACGCTACCCAGGCGTTAGCATGAACAGTAAAGGAAAATAGCAAGCTGCTTTAAATGCCTTATTTAATTGTGACAATTTATGCACTGCCATCAGAACCACCTTGTAGTTGTGATGCACCTTGAGATACTTACTTTAAAGTGTTCTTTGTCTGAGAACATTTGTATAAATTGAGCAATAAGTGCTCTGCCCCTCAGAGAATCTACTGATGGAATTTAAATTAAAACAGTGTGCACAAACAACACCCGTGGCACCATTTTCACACACACACACACGCACACACAAAATACCAATTCACACACAGCATTCCTCCTTGAATCACCCCTGGGTTCTCTTAACCAGTGATATAATACACATAAACATGCCCATAAATCCACTGTCATGTCCAAAAATGAGGAGTTATGTGAGGGCTCATATGCAAAGAAATGAACTTAGGCTGTCATGTGACACTTCGTAAGTCCTCTGGGCTACCTTTTAGCATGTAAATCCCAGGCTTGCAGAGATACATGGGAAAGAGGGGATTTAAAAAGAAGTGTGTGCATGTGAGAGAGAAGGGCAAAAGTAATATGTCATAGTTACTCCCATAAAAAGGGAAAAGACAAGAGAAGAGCCATAGAAAATAGTCTGAACTTGTATTAAGTCATGTCTGCAGAGCCCTAGACCTCGAACTTCACAGATGATTGGGCTTCCAGGGATGTTCTTGTGGTTTGGACTGTCTGTAATGCGTAAGGGCACAAGAAGACAAGAGTATCTGCTCTCTTAACTCACCGACACCGTGCATTTATGCATTTATGCAAACATAAATTGTGCATTTATGTTTGTGTTCAGCTTGCGTGTATGAGAGACGTACTAGTGAATGATACCTGAATCCCCCAGGAGGATCACTTGAAAGGTATTAATTTCTTTCTTTACGCTGTTTTTCTTAAACTGGACCTCAAACTAAATTGAATCATTACACTCCATGCTTGAAATTAAAACCACTACTATATCAAACACGTTAACATTTAAACAACATATTACAGCACAGTGTTTTAAAATTCAGAACTAAAGAATTGATTCCCTTTCAATTCATGATTTAAACTGAATTGTCCACAATCTACAGGACGTAGAATTAGAATCTGAATTGAATGATAGTAAAAGGAATTGACTGTATTCAAAATCAATCAATCTATCTATCTATCTATCTATCTATCTATCTATCTATCTATCTATCTATCTAATCCTCTATCTATCTAATCCCCACTGGCAAGATGGGCTTTTAATAAATCTTGGCAGTGTATGCAGCACAAACACTATTTTTATTTTAAATATGTGCTAGATGACTACATAAAACAGAGAAAATGGGATGTGACATTCCATTTTTCCAAAAATGTCAACATTCATAATGCCTCTCTGACGATCCGGCTGACATTTGATGACAAATATACAGGGATATCTGGGTGCAGGCAACACAGAGAAAGACATTGTTCATTTACATATAGTACAGACACTGTAAGAATACAAAGCTTGAAAATCAGTGAACTTATCTTTTAAGACCTAAAAGACTTTTTTCATAACTTTTGAACATTGTCTTTACATTTTTTTCTTTTCAAGGTTAAAATTAGTTATAAAAATTCCTCAAATTTCAATTCATTTTATTTCTACTTCCTTACATTCAAACTGCAATTGTGCATTCTATTTAGTTGGTTTCAAGAACAAAAAGAAATTTCCCAGGCATTTTCGGTGCAATTCTGAACAGTGTATTACCCTGTTACAACAGTGAACAGATGATGACCTCATGGCTCAAACAGTCACATTTAAGTAACTGAGAGGGATATAAAGCAGGATGTCCTGTGTGTCTCAAAGAGTAAAGGCACAGAGGCAAGCAATTACAACATAAGCCTGGATTTTGGTTAGCCATCATAATGATTTTCTAATGGCACATCCAAGTACAACACCAAAACAAGATCCCACTAAGCTTGAAGCTGTTTGTTGGAGAGAACAGAATGTTTAGTTAGTTAAAGCCCTAAACAAATGCAGCCGTCTTAACAAGACGTTCACTCTCAGGGGAGGAACATGATTCAAGTGTTTAATCAAGGCTGTTGGACAGAGGAGCAGAAGTATCCAGAACTAAAAACTTTAATCCAACCAAAGGGCTTTCACCATAAAGTAGACTAGATCTTTTATTTCATCCTTACAGTGTTTTGATAATCTCCAGGAACTCACTGATCATATTTTGTCATATTGTAAGCTGGAATATCCCATCCAGCGCATGCATGTAGTATGTCTCCAGTGTATATCTTGGCAGCAAAGAGTGGTCAGTGTCAGTATTGACTGACAGAAGTACTGGACATAAAGGTCCTGGGAAACAAACCAGACCAATATCGTATACAGTATCAGTATTCCATTTTGGAGGAAATACTGTAAACATATAGTTTAAGCTTAAAACCAAATTCCAATTGCGATTCCTAAGAATAAAATTACAATAAAACTGCACTGTTATAAGCAATCATGGATGCGTAGTCCTGGAAAATGGGCTACTACCAAGAACATAGATATTCAGAAAAAAAAAAAAAGTTCAGAGAATCCCAAGGGAAATACTGTTTCAGAACTAAAAACTAATTGCATTGCTTAGCCAACCAAGAGCTGTGCATGAACCCCAACCGACCCAACATGAAATCCAATTCCCCCAGCAAGGGTTAAACTCACCCTGGGAAACAAACCAGACCAATATCGTATAAACATATAGTTTAAGCTTAAAACCAAATTCCAATTGCCTTCCAATTGCGATTCCTAAGAATAAAATTACAATAAAACTGCACTGTTATAAGCAATCATGGATGCGTAGTCCTGGAAAATGGGCTACTACCAAGAACATAGATATTCAGAAAAAAAAAAAAAGTTCAGAGAATCCCAAGGGAAATACTGTTTCAGAACTAAAAACTAATTGCATTGCTTAGCCAACCAAGAGCTGTGCATGAACCCCAACCGACCCAACATGAAATCCAATTCCCCCAGCAAGGGTTAAACTCACAGTCACAGAGTGTAGCGCAAATTCTGAATTTAGGTCTTTGCTGGTAGACATGCTCAATCCCAAAGAGTGTTTGAAAAACCAATTAAAGAAACACAATAACAGGCAACAGAAAGGAAAATTAGTTCAGGCAGCAGACTGTGAAAACTCCTTGAATTACAAAGGTGAAACAGACAGGTAACCTAAGAAGAGAAGTAGCTTGCTCAGCATTAAACTGAAGAGATTCGCAAAAGACGATAAAAAAACACCCTATTGCCTAATACTACAACAGAAGCATATGCACTGAAAGTTAATATTATGAGGCTCCTGGAAACACTGAGGACAAAAATAATAATGCATGTTTCCCATGCAATCTATCTCAGCTGCAGCTGTTTATATATTTCTGTATTAATTTTAACAGGAGCAACAGTGTGAGACACAGCATGTACAGCAGCAATGCCACTTACCTTTGAAGGACAGGAAGACTCGTGGAGCAGAAGCGGGTGGCAGGGAAGACAAAGGGCTGCTGTGGACCGAGACAGCTGAGAACACAGAGACCAGAAGGGTCCCCAGCACCAAAGTCCCAACTCCCTGCATGATCACTTTATCCAAAGACCCACAAGAGATGTATTTGGTCCTGCATGGGAAGGGAGGGAGGGAGGGGGTGAGGATCCACTCATATATTCATGATTGAGATTTCACATAACCATTCACTTATCTTTTTATTGAATGGAAGAAAATGGAAATTGATAACAGAGATAGACTGATAAGTCAGTTTGTGTGATATCTTCACAGATATTTACACACTTCTACTTAATTGGTTGTTGGTTCCTGAATACTGCCTACCAATGGTAAAACACTGTTCTAAATTCTGTGGAAACCTTCCACTTTGTCATAATTGACTTATTATTATTAAAATATTCATAATGCATGTTGTTTTATTGTTTTAGTATAATGGCCATTTAGTTAATTGTATCAAAAAGAAATAATAATAATGATAAAAATAAAATAATTATTTTTTACATTACTTAAAATAACCAGTGAATAAACTGGTTGATCTCTGTCACAACTAATGCTTTTTTTTTATTCCACTCAAATCAAATTCATCAGCATATGACTTGCAAATGAAATTCAGTTATTATCAATAGCAGCGTCATATCCATTTTCAACAAAAATATCTCAATAATTAGTTCAAAATATCAGATTTAATCGGATTTCCGTGCCGTGTAATGGACTGATCCTCTTAAAAATAGTATATAAAAACATTTGGATAATAACTGTGCTGCTGATCTTCTGTACAAAAAAAGAATTTATGATGTACGTGACATGAAGCATGAAAACATGTTACTCATAAATGAACGCAGAACTCACCTACAAAACGTCCGTCACAAACGATCCTGTGTGTCCCAGTGTACAAATCATTTGCAATCCAGCGCAAAGAAAACGTACAGAAACCAAAACAATGCGTCCAGTCAAAAGTAACAGCATACACGTGTCCACAAAGTAGTTGCTCCTATAAACTAATTTTTGTGACTGTGATACCGCGGCAGTTCAAATTAAGTGCTCGTATCCCCTCTCGTCCGGAGTTTTTAAACGCGTCTCGTGTATTTTCGTCCACGCAGCAGCAGCAGCAGCAGCACGCTTCAGGTCCACTGACTGTCTGCTGCTGAAGTAGTCTGGCAGGTGGATGGAGCGCTGTTACTCCCCCTGGGCGGAGACTTACCTTAAAAGTAACACCCATTTATGTTTTGAACGCAATTAGGTATTGCAAATACATGCGGCGAAATCAAAACAAAAACATGAGACATGTTAGTAATGGGGGTGCAGCGCTTATCTTCACTAAATCACACGCAAACATGCGAACGACTCTCGCGTGCGCTCGCCTCGCGCTCTCACTCTCTATAATAATCACTCTGGGCGACGCCCACGCGCTACACCCGTCCACAACAGTAGCACAGTTATTTGAAGATAAAAAACTACATTTTCAGTGCATTGCTCTGAAAATAAAGGAAGCAATGTGTCTATAATTATAGGCTAATAATATCTATCTTTATTAAACATTAAGATACAACCCACTTCATAATGGAAAACGTGTCCTTTTCTGATACTAAAGTGCAAGATGACCCAAAAATATAATTTTTTTTATTAAGTACTGATGGAGAAACACAGTTTGCATAAAAATAAATTACAAAAGGAGCTTGTTTCACCTCCAGCATGGAGCAAATGCCCCCTGCATATACTTCTTTACTAGCCTATAAAGAATGCAAAAATCATGTAAAATTACTATATGAAAAAAAGTGAATATTTTGCTATCCCATGAAGCCATGTGAGCTGAGGAGGAGTCAGCCATTCACAAAACTGAAGGGGGAAAAAACAACAACAAATGTCTGAAAACTCTGAGGCAGGCAACTCTGGCTGTTAAGCTGTTCATCATCGTTAATTTGCACTTGTTAAATTGTACAACAGCTAAATAAATCTTTTTAGCAGTTTTTGGTACTGTATATCATTGGTCAAAAAAACTCAAGTGTGCGTCTGGTTTCCTTTCACTTAAACTTTTACTGAACGAAATGTTGATTTTATTATTGTTCACAAAACTAAAAATCATAAGTCTTCTGCAGCAAATTTAAGTTCAGGGATTCTCATTAGCAACACAATCTGCAGTATTATAAACATGATTAGATCAACTTAGCTCCAAATTAAACTTTCGCCAACAACCTCATGGATCAAGAAAATTTCACAGTGCATGATGACAAACAGATATATTTGTTGTTATCCAGCACAGTGAAAGAGTCAAGGACTCAATCCACGAGTGATTTCTCTGGTGAGAACCAGTAAAAAAATAAAATAAACAAAAATTCATGCCATTATAGAATAAATTCAGAAATTATGAAATCCGCCCTGAGGAGACAGGAGTAGAGCGAGAATGGCATGTTAGTGCAGAACACTTAAGGATTATGTGAGATTTGTTGTGACTTTTCTGTAAAAATGGCATAGCGTGCAGCATGATTATTTGTAGATTTGTTTATTTTAATGCGTTATGCACTTTCAGTCAAGCCCCTCTATGCATTTTCATATGAACACACGCAGAACCTGGAGTCTTAGTGCAATATGAATTTTGCATGCATGCTTGTGTGTCCAAGTATTTGTGCAAAACAGCACAACCTGATGTCAGACCAAGTTTCCGCAAAATAGCCATTGCCTAACCACAGAAATGCCAGTCAGGGCTATTCATCAAATAAATGGATGAATTGCAACACACATCCAAACCACAATATACAAACCTTTAATTAAGAATGCTCACTGACAGATTTGTGAATTACATTTTATTTATTTTACAGTTTTAGTGCTTTTGTGTGTGCATGTGTGTGTGTGTATGTGTGTGTGTGTGTGTGATAAAGAAAAAGTGCAAATGAGAGTAATTTAGAGTGGTAAGTCAATGTTGCAATATTCTGACCTAATCTAACAATCTACATACATGCAGTCTGTCTTTATTGGTGTTTTGACCTGAATGTTTTTTTTTAAGCAACATTTTTTGCTAACTATGCCATTTTACAGCACTTATTCTTGCTATTCTTGATCCGGTCTCCAAAATAAAGGAATAGTTTACCAAAAAATGGACCTCAGGCCAAAAAAAAAAAAAAAACAGGCAATCCAAGATATAGATGAGTTTGTTTCTTCATCAGAACAGATTTGGAGAAATGTATTTATTACATCACTTGCTCACCAATGGATCCTCTGCAGTTGAATGGGTGCCGTCAGAATGAGAGTCAAAACTGATAAAAACATCACAATAATCCACAAGTAATCCACACCACTCCAGCCCATCAATTAATGTCTATTGAAGTGAAAAGCTACGTTTATAAGAAACAAACCATCATTAAGATGTTTTTAACTGTAAACCATCAGTTCTGTCCAAAATATGAGTCTATAATACATAATGCTTCCTCCAGTGAAAAAGGTCCATCCCTTGTTGCCCTCTCACATCAAAATCCACTGACATATTTGTTTAGAACTGTTTTGAACTAAATGTTAAATGTTGCTTGATCTGTGCATATTTCTCTCCTGATTCAGTCTGGACAAAGCTGATATTGTGGATAGAGGATAGAGGACTATTTCAGCCAGAAACAAGAGTTTGCAATTAAAAATGTCTTAATGGTGGCTTTATTTCTTACAAACAAACAGCTTTTGACTTCACAAGATTTTGATTAATAGACTGTTTGGTGTGTAATATTGTGATGTTTTTATCAGCTGTTTGGACTCTCATTCTGACGGCACCCATTCACTGCAGAGGATTCATTATTGAGCAAGTGATGAAATGCACAATTTCTTTAAATCTGATGAAGAAACAAACTCATCTACATATTGGGTGACTGAGTTTGAGTACATTTTCAGCAAATTTTTATTTTTTGGGTGAACTCTTTCTTTACGACAAAAAGCATGAATGTTTCATTACCTATATTAGATTACATGCTTAAACATGTAACATTACATGCAACATTTTCTGAAACATTTTTTTAAATTAAATGATAATAACTCTTTTATGATGTTAAAAATAAACTGCTCTTTAAAACAAAGAAATATATGGGCTGGAGTTAAAATCAGTAATTTTTCTGTGATAGCTGATGAATCTCTGCCAGATTTCTCTTTGAAGTTGGAATGTGTGTGCAAACACTCTCTCTCTCTGTCTGATGAGGCCATTGAAGAAGCAAAGATGAAGATAAAGCAGATAAAGGAGGGATTTCTTCCTTTCAACACCTGACTGTCTGCTAGCGAAGCATGTCGTTCTGTGTGAGTTTGTGTTTGTGCACTATAGGAAAAGACAGCAAGTCTGAAGTCTCGATAGCCAAAATGACTCACTGTGCCTGGATTTCAAAAAGCCTCAGCAATGACAACCAAATGTAGCACACAACAATATCATTGAATACGAACTGCAAGCGTCTGGTTGCAGTCGGCTCAAGCAGACAGATAACAGGTGTGATCCAGGATGACAATGACACAGAGACACAAAGTGGCCTTGATTTTCACACACCAAGCCAAGGCAATTACCACTCGCAGCACAGTAAAGCATCTCATTATCTCTGCATCAGCAGTCAGTCAAAGCGCAGGCTTGCGTGTGTGTGAGTATATTCCAATCTATTTAATAAGATAGAAAGGAGATGGCGATACACACCGGATGAGTGTATTAAGCGTGATTTGTGTGTGATATATTCAATAAAGGTTTGATTTAGTGTGAGCAATCCAAACCCAGAATATTTGCTCAGTATTCAAAACTGGCCACTCAAGTTCATATAAATTTCCATTGTCTATATGCAAATATTTCCATGTAATTTATAGCTGCATGCCTGTTAACTTAACATACTGTACGGTTCCCACTACTTTTTAATTATCTGAATGATTTCCTGTGGTTCTTTGTGACGCTTCATAATCTCGTTTATGTTTATCATCAAATACCATGATTGTACAATCAGATGCTGGGTAATTTAGATCAAATCAAAATGATATTCAGAACGAGATGTCTTGGGATTTTAGAGATGACCGTATGGAATACTGTTAGTGGGATCCATGGCCTCTTCTGACATTGTCTTTGATAATAATTAAAAACATCTGGGGAAATTAATAGATCCAATCAATGCCATTAAAGTAGAATGAAAAGATACTTAGCACTTAAAATCAGGGAAAAAGGAACTGGAGGGAATTACATAATTCCTTTGTTAATTCATAGACGAAGGTCAAGGGAAAGTTGTCTAGATTAGATTTTTCCGTGTAGTTGGGATGTATTTGGTATGAATATGCATGTTTTCTCACACACACAAACACACGCAGGTCAGATCTCCTCTGGTGCATGTAATGACTGATCATGTACTCACCCCTCAGTCACGGCACAGGAGCTGCTACCTTTTACCTTTGAGATAAAGACATTAAAAATGCACAGCCTCCGCCACCACTCTCAGAACCCCAGCCTACTGTTCATTAGCATTTAAATGGGAAAGAGATAGCCGTGTTTGCCTGCAAGTCATATGCCTACAGCAAAGAGCAGAGAGACTTCAGTGGACTACGCTTCTACTGAATTTATCCCCACAAACAACTGAGAACAACTATAGGAGCTGCTGCTGCTTTTATCTCCAGCCACTGACAAAAGATTGCTGGATTGTTAACAAATTAGCTGTTGTGTTTGGAGGAGGTTTTAGATTAGTTCAGCAATGCTGTTTCAAAAGCAGTTCACTAAACATCAAGGCTGGCTATTTAATTCACATCTGCATATTCATGAGAACAGATATGGTTTATTACCTTCTCAGTGCGTGTGTACTAGACATTTTCAATCTAACCAGTTAGTTTTGAATGCTTATTCAATTGCTCATGCACTTGTTAACTGATTGTTTAATTACTGTAAACATGTTTTGTTGCATTTACAAACTGTCAAACATTACTCAAAATTATTTGAAAACTTAACCTTATTTTATTGGTAATAAACAGCATTACCAAAGAAAATAGTTTTGACTTTCAAATAATTTTGAATAATTGCAAAAAATATTAAGAGCTCATTGAGTTCTAATCACCAAAAAATGAAAAATTGCAGAAAATATATTCACCCCCAGGCCATCTAAGATGTAGATGAGAAGATGTTTCTTCATCGGAAGAGTTTGGAGGAATGTAGCATTACTTGCAATGGTTGGAAGTTAAAACTTAAAAATGTCTTAATGCTGAAATTATTTCTTACAAACATGCAGATTTTCACTTTACAATATTAATTGATGGACTGGAATCATGTGGATTACTTGTGGAATATTGGGATGTTTTTAATCAGCTGTTTTGACTCTCATTCTGACGGCACCCATTCACTGCAGAGGATCCAT